CGGGGCGCGGGAGCGCGCACCCCCCGGGGGTCGGGCCGCGCGCGGGGCTGGGGGGGTCGGGCTCTTTTCCGCAGGACAAGGGGCAGGACAAGGGGCAACGGGCACAAACTGCAGCACAGGAGGCTCAAGTTAAACATAAGGAACAACTTCTTTGCTGTGAGGGTGACAGAGCCCCGGGACAGGCTGCCCAGAGAGGCTGTGGAGGCTCCTTCTCTGGAGACTTTCCAGCCCTGTCTGGATGTGTTCCTGTGGGATCTGCTCCGGCAGGGGGCTGGGCTAGATGAACCCTGGAGGTCCCTTCCAACCCCACCACGCTGTGACTCTGTGCCAGTCCCGCCTCCTTCTGCTTAGATGACAAGTGGGGACCGGGCACGCGGGGCGGTGGGAGGGGTGGGCCACGCGTTCCTTTCCCTTGGGATGGACAGGGCGGGGTGGGACTGTGTTCCCACACACACACCTGCACGGGATACCAGGGCTATTGGTGTCCCCACATGCCTGGGGGACAGGGAGCAGGCCGAGATAGGGGTACTCGTCCCCATCAGCAAGGGGGGTCAAGAGCTCAGGGCCACGGGTGTCCCTGGCAGGGTCGTGCACTAGGAGGCTGTGGCCACCCGTGTCCCTGCCTGCAGGGAGGATAGGGCTGGGGCTGGGTCATGAATGACGACAAGGTGGTCATGCATGTCCTCACCTGCAGGGTGCGATGGAGCCACGCGCATCCCTGCCCGTGCGGACACACGGGACAGCTTGTGCTGGGACCCCGCGCGTCCCCGCCTGCGTGGGCACAGGGCCCCGCGGGGACAGGCGGCGAAGGAGTCTCTGCTGTGCACGCTGGTGACACTGGGACATTTGGCCCCAGGGGTGTCACCAAGCGGGAAAGATGCAGATACTGCTGGTCTCTGTGTCCATGGCCTGTGCAGAGGTTTGGGGTGCTGGGGGTGACGCCCCAGGCTGAGGGGGTGCAGCTCTGAAAGCCCCGGGCTGGCGGGGGAGGGGGCGGGTCCCCAGGCTGTCTCACCAGCACCGGGCAGAGCCAAAAATGAGCTGTGAGCACAAAATAAGCTGTGAGCCAAATCTGCTGAGATCAGGTGGTGCAGGAGATCTTTGCTCTGGGGGAAGCCATGTGTTTTCAGTCCTGCAGCATGGTTTTTGGAGGAGTGTGAAACTCCAGGCCTTGACAGGGCACAGGGATCCTGTATGATGGGGGAAGGTAAGGCTGGGGAAGCTGGTGCTTGATTCCACTTGGTGCAGAAGGAGAGAGTGACTTTCCAAAGGTGGCACAGGGAACTTGTGGAAAAGCAGAGACTGGAAGGCTCATCAGACCTTACAAAATTCCTGGAAAGCTTGACAAGTCTGTGGAACTAATCAAAGCTTGCTTTCCCTGGGCAAGCTGCACCACGGGCTTCCAAGGTCTGTCTGGTTTCATTATGTCAAGCCAAGGAACCTCTGCATGGTTTGTGATATTTGAGAGGCAGGTGTGACAGTGGGGAGCTCTTTCTGGAGAAGCCTGGCAACTGGTCCCCAACACATGGGAGAGCAGACTGGGGAGTGTGAAGCTGAAGCTCTCAGCTGAAGCATGGGAAGGGAGCTTGTGGGGCAGCCAAGAGCAACAACTCATGAGATGCCCATCTTCCTTGGGTATGAGGTCTGTAGCCCAGGTCTGCATGCTCCCCTTCTTGAATGCCTCCTGTAAGGACTGCTGGGACTCAGCCCTGCCTGTGAGGAGGTTCCCAGTATTAGCTGGCAAAGGTTTGATAGGTGGGGGAAGCATTGGTGTCCATGTCTCCTCATGCTTTACAGACCAAGTTCTGTCAGAGAGAGCTGCTCATGGGGAAGGGAAATGGTTCTTGAGGTTTGATTTGGAGACACAAGCTGCTGTGCCCAGTAACTTGGAGGAAGACATAAGGGGAGTGTAGAGGCATGGAACAAAAGTTCCTTGTAGATGGGAAAGGTTCTTAGAAGTGTGTGGTCCAACCTACTGCTTGGAGCAAAACCACCACTGTCACTGTATCATGTTGGCCAGGCTGGAAGGCTTCCAGAGACACCCCTGCCCCAGGTCTTAAATTGATTAGACAAGAAGTGGGGTTTTCAGTGCTGGCCCATGTAGAGATGCAAAGTGTATGAGAACTGGCATCTTCGTGGCTTGGGTCAAGAGCAATTCCCATACCTGAGGAAATGGGAAGTCTGCTCAGGGACAGGAATTTGAAGACATATTTTCTACTGAAGCCCTGCGAGGAGACCCAAGGGGAAGGGGGAGACATGCTGCCCTGTGAGTGTGGTGCTGTGCTTTGAGCCTTGGCTTTGCCCCATGTTTCCTGAGAGGCTTTGGGAAGTCTTCTGTGGCATCTTCAGGCCTCGGCTCCAGGTGGGGTTTGCAACTCTGTGCATTTTGGGTCAGCAGGAGGTAAATCCAGCTGTGTTCATGGGGCCTCCCTTCCTACAATGTGAGAGGTCATGTGGATCTCTCTGCACAGGGAAACCACAACCACTGCGGGTTGCTTGTGGTTTCTCCAGCCACCCAGCCCTCCACACTGGTTTCAGCAGGGAATGGGCTGTTTCCGTGGAGAGATGATGTGATGTGATGTGATGATGGCAACTGGGCTTTGCTGCTCCTAGCAGAGGTCCTAGGCATCTCCATGCTTCACCCATTGGCCAAATTTTTGTATTCCTCCTGCGGGATGGGGTTTATGGAGCCTCTGGTTCCTACCAGCTGCACAGTCCCAAGCTCACACCCACAAGACCACTCTCAGCAGAGGGCTGCAGGGTGGAAGAGCTCTGGGTCCCTTTCCACAGGGACATGCTCCAGGAGGACAGGGGTGGCACTAGCTGACCAGGGACATTGCTGATGCTGCTCTCAGCAACTCTGAGACTTTCAGCAGCCCCGGCCAGAACCAAAGATGCAACCAGTGCAGAAGTTTAATGTTTAATGTTAACTCCATGTCATGGAAAGCTGGCAAAGCCCTTTGCCCATAAAAACATTTTCTGAGGTGTTGAGTACAGGTGAGCTGTTGTGACCGAGGAGGAACATGGAGATGTTAGGTCCTGAGAAACATCTCTGGCTGTTTCCTGTGCTCACAACCTGGCGATGAGTGTTCAGTTGTAGGAACACAATCCCTGGGAGCACAAGTGACAATCTTTACAGGTGAAGCAGCTTAACTTGCCAAGTGTGTTGTGTATTTAGTGGCATGTGTTGTTGGGCCACTGATTATAAGTGAAAAATCCCACCTGGGATTCCCAGGGAATCAGAAATCAAGGCTCCAGAGCTTCTGGCAAAGCTGTTCTGAACCCACAGAACCATAGAATGGGCTGGGTTGGAAGAGACCTTAAAGCTCACCAGGTTCTAACCCCCTGGACACCTCCCGCTAGACCAGGTTGCTACAAGCCCCATCCAGCCTGGCCCCAAACACTTCCAGGGAAGCGTAATTGTTTTAAGCTTTAAAACAATTAAAACCATTAATTAAATTAACAATTAATTAAAACAATTGAAAGAAGAACTTAAAGACTTGGCTTTGGCTTCTGACAGAGTGATGTAGGAAGAGATGAGGCTGGTGCAACGCTTTTGGCAACACAGCCCCTCTGAAATGAGGCTGCACTTTGGATACACACCCACAGTGTGGGCACAAGGGACAAAAGGCCTTATTTTGTGGAAAATCCTGTCTTGGAGTAAAATCCAAGCTTCCCTGTGCAGCAGCTTGTACCATTTATGACCAAAAAATGTAGCCTTTGGTGTTCATGGCTCTCCCATCAGTCGTTGCGTGGGGCTTTAAAGGTTCAGGTACCACTGATAGAATTTGCTCTGGATCCAGGGATCCTTTGTGGAAGTTGATGTGGTAAAGCGTCATAAGAAAGGCTGGTCATGGGAGTGCCCTTGCATTGGCCAAGAGGTGATCAAGAGGTCTTTATCTGCTCTACTAGCACACTCCAGGGTACCTGGCAGAGTGCTGAGGCTGTTCCCATCGTGTTCCCAGATGGATTTTTCTTGGACAGGACAACGTGTGAGCAGAGAATTTGGCAGATGGAACGTGTCTGGTTCTGTGCCATGGAGCGTGTTCTTATCACCATGTTGGACCAGCTTAACCTGTCCCTGCCGTGGGTGATGAGCTGTGAGCCTACAGCTGGGACACCTCGAGGCAGGGGTGATGGTCCTGCTCCAGCAGAAACGTCCTCTCAGACCAGTGGTCACCTCCTGAGGGAGCTTTCCCGCGGTGATGGGGGCTGATGTGCCACCTTCCCACAGCTCACATCGGGAGATGCTGCTGATGGTCGCAGGGGGGGTTGACCAGGCAGCAGGAACCACAAGAGGGAGCTGAGATCATGGCCTGTGGATGTCCCCAGCCTCCAGGAGCAGCCCTGCTCCAGCTCGTTCCTTCTCCTCCCGTTTGCAGGTCGCTGCTTCCAAAGACCCCGCGGCCAATGCAACCCACAGAGATTATGTTGAGTTTGACCGTGGTTCTGCTGCTGACGTGGACCTTGGGGAGTAAGTACAGTTTGAGGGAAGGGGATGGCAAGGGGAGATGCTGGATTGTTTGTGTCCTCAGAGGAACTTCCTCTAACCCGTGGGGCATCAGATAAGAGAAGGGGATGATTCAGTTTGTGACAAGGTAAGAAAAAAAAAAAAGGAGCAAAATGTTGACCTTGAAGATCCTGGTGGTTGGGAGACTCAACTGCTACTGTTTCTAAGGGCAACCAGCTTGTAAACAGGAACTGGAGCTTGTTGCTGTTATCACAGTAAAAGCAATAAAAATGAATCCAGGGGAAACAAAAATATAGGTTTCATTACAAAGGCTGCTGCTGATATACAATGGTAACTCCAGTGTCAAGGCCTTTGCTTGGCTCACATGGACACGGTCAGCGTCAGAAGAAAGGAGAGACTTCTGATACAGTGAGAGAGAAGGAGAAAATGAAGATCCTTTGGGATCTGGTGGGGCCAGAAATTGATCTGGGGACATCAGGATGACAAATGTGAATTTCTAATTGTAGCCATTTCTTGTCCCTCCAAAGGAGTGCAGAACTTGTCTAAACAGTGGTTTGTACAGAAAGTTTCATGAAAAGGTTGAGGATGCACCACAGTGCAGACGTTGTTCTGCATTGGAGAAGCTTGTTTTTTTGGCAGCTCACCAAGTGGGTCTGGTCTGTTCCAGGAGCTCAGGAGAGCATCTCTTGGGAGGTCCAGCGCTACGATGGCTGGTACAACAACCTGCAGCACCACGACCGCGGCTCGGTGGGTGAGTGCCAGGCCTGGGGAGGGGGATGGTGGGATGGAACAAGCCACCACTTGTGCAGCTGGCTGCCTTTACAACTCAGAAACCCTATCTGACTTGAGCCTGCACCGGACAGGTGACCAGACAATGCCCACCATCCTGAGATAGGTCCCTAGCTGAGGCTGCACCCCACTAGAGAAGTCTGGAGGGGTCAGGCAGCCCAGCTTTGTCTCCCATGTCCTGGCCTTGCCACTTCTACCTGCTGCCCAGCCACCATCTGCAGGTCATGCTGGTGTTGGATCAATCCCAGAGTAGAGCTGTGCCTTTGTGGGACTATTTAAAACCTGCAAGATGGGGAGGACCCAGCCCTTCCTAGCAGGTGTTTAAGTGATGGTCAAGGATCCCAGAGCTAGGAGAAGGCATCTTTAGCCAACATCAGCAGCCAGTTCAAGCAGCATTCATCACAAGGCTAGAGACAGAAGAGTTCATGGTCCAGGTGTGCTGGTCCTACTCCTTTTGCATTTTGCACCAGACAGATCTTGTGCTTGTACTGGTCTGTACAGGGAGCAGGGCAGATCAGGTAGGATTCAATCTAAAATATTCCAGGCTATGAGTCCTCCCACTTCCTGCAGCCCAGATCGGTCACTACTTGGTGACACGAGGCACATTACACAGCTTCCTCCAAGCCAAGGTGGCTCAACATGACATGTGTGACATTCACCCTCTGGTTACACCAGAGCCTGTCAGGAAGATCCAGCAGGTCCCTGGCAGACAAGATGTCCCTCTTCCAGAGCAGGCAGATTGGAAATAAACCTAAGGCGACCAAGCCCAAAACTAAGCCAGTCATTCAGGGTGTCCTCCAGCTGTGGAGAGCACCTGCCAACCAAGCCTACCACACTGCTGAAGAGCCTTTTGTAACAAACTCAGTGAGAATGGGCAACAACCTCCTGACTCTAGGCTCTTGAGTTACAGGACAAGCAGTGGGTGTGAAGTCAGGGTGTTTGTCTCTCATCTCCTCTATTGTCTCTCTGCCTTTCCAGCTGTTCCCTCTCCTGTTCCCTATGGTGTTGGCAGTTGCCATGCTTGGGTAGGATTGCTTAGTCAACACAGGCAGCTTAACATCACTCCAGTTACCTGCTGGACTGCATCACCCCAGACCTCCAGGAGGCAATGGGGACGCACATCACAGAATCACAGAATGTTAGGGGTTGGAAAGGACCTTCAAAAGATCATCTAATCCAACCCCCCTGCTGGAGCAGGGTCACCTAGAGTAGGTTATACAAGAATGCATCCAGGTGGGTTTGAGTGTCGCCAGAGGAGGAGACTCTAATTTCTCTGGACAGCCTGTTCCAGTGCTCTTTCACCTTCACAGTGAACACAAATGGACCCGAGAGGGACAACTGAAAGGGAACATGCCCACAGAGGATCTCTCCTAGTTTTAAAAGGACTCATCTCAGTGTTGCAAGAAGTTTTGGGTGTTGGTACCAACACTCATGTTCTTGGTGACTATTAAGTGTCTGTGCCATCCTCTTGCACTCTTCCAGGACCCTCACACACACTGGTGTACCCCTCTATAGAATCCCAGAATCACAGACTGGTTTGGGTTGGGAGGGACCTTAAAGACCATCTAGTTCCAACCATCTGACACAGGCAGGGGCACCTCCCACTAAACCATGTTGCTCCGAGCCCCATCCAACCTGTTCTTGGACACCTGCAGGGATGGGGAGAGGCCTCCCATCTGTCAGGTGCCACCAGACTCATGCCATGTTGCTTTGGTGCCACAGGTGTCAGGTTGCTGCGTCTCCTGCCAGCCAACTACAGGGACGGTGTCTACCAGGCGCTGCAGGAGCCCCAGGTGCCCAACGCTCGCCAGCTCAGCAACGCGGTGGCACGGGGACCCTCCGGGCTGCCCTCCCACAGAAACACCACCGTGCTGGCTGTCTTCTTTGGTAAGAGCTGGGGCCCGGCCGTGGGTGAAAAAACATTGGTCTGGGTGGAATAATGTTGGTTTGGGTGGAAAACTGTTGGTTTCTCACACCCCAAGGCCACACGCCCGAGAGCTCCACACCTACCACTTCATAGCAGACCCACAGCCAAAAGATAAAGCCTTGGGCATCATCACAGCAAAACACTGTCTTGGCCAAGAAGATTTCTGTGATTTTTTGTGACTTTTGGCAGTTCCCCAGAAGCTGATACTTGTAACTTGGGAACTTCCTCATTGGTTTTCTCAGAAGAGTTGCCCTGTTGCAAAACACCTGACAGACAAGATAAGAGCTGTGCTGTGGTTGTTGGCCAGAAGTGCTACAAGATGGAGCAGTTTTTGCTCTCACACAGGAGCATGACAGGGTCTTGGGTCTCCATGCTTGGGGATGTCTGTCTCTGGGAAACACCCTCAGCTCACTGAGAAAGCAGGCTGAACCTGTCAAAGCAGTGGAGACAATTAGCTCCCCATACAGCTGAAAGTTGATACACAACCCTGGACACCCAAGCTGAGGTGCTTGATCCCAAGATGTGCCACAGGAGGATCAGACACTCGTGTGGCACTGTTTAGCTTCTCCCCAGAGGTAGTCTTTCTCAGCACACCAAAGCTCAAATGGGCCAACAGCAACAGAAGCCATTGGGCTCAGTGGCAGCAGTAAACCTTGGCCTTGAAGGCCAGAGGCAAAGAGGAGCTCAGGGAACTACTGGCCAAAGGCAGAGCTTTGCTCCCAGTGAAGTGGTGGCCAGCAGATGGTCCAGCTGCTGGTCATCTCTGAACATCTGCTGGCTCAGTTTCTCTACCCTGGCCCCTGAATGACCGTACTCATGAGCTCTGGCCAGGAGCACCTGGAGCCCTGTTTCTGTGGACTAGAGTTCAGTACATCTGGGCTCCAGACCAAAGTGACTTTTTCAATCATGGAGCAAACCAGAAGTGAAGGCAAGGAGGAAACCACTCTTACTGCACAGGGTGGTCCCTTCAGTCCACGTACAGCTCAGCTGCCCACCCCCACCACGTCCTGCTCCAGGTGCTGGTGGCAGTCCTCCCAGCTGCTGACCACACTCGGGTGCCTGGCAGGTTTCCACGTGCTCTCAGACATCCTGGGGATAGAGCAAACTGGCTGCCCTGCTGAGTTCCTGAACATCCACATCCCACCCGGAGACCCGGTGTTCGACCCTGCAGGCACTGGGGACGTGGTCCTGCCCTTCCAGCGCATCCACTGGGCCACTGAGACTGGGCACAGCCCCAACAGCCCCCGGGAACAGGTAGGAAGCATTTGCTTTGCTCTTTGCCTTTCAGCTAAATTCCTCTTCACCCAACACTGGGGTCTGTAGAAGCCAGGACAGTGGCTGAAAAAAAAAAAATAAAAAAAAAAATCACCCTCGTCTCCTTAAAAATTCATGTCTCTGGAGTGTTTGAACCAACTGCTACTAAACCTCCAAGGTTTAGTTCCAGCTCCAGGTCAAGGCTTTTCTTTTCTTGGCCAAAGACAACGTAATTGCTCTAGATCTGCCTGTGCCATCTACTTGAATGACAATTCAAGTCTTCTGCATTGTTTCTGGAAGGTGGAAGGAGGGGAGGGGAAGCAGGAAGATTGGGCATCCTCTTTAGCTGACAAAGGTTTGATCACTTCATTCAAAACTGATTTGGGGCTTTCTGGGTCAGGTGAAACAAGTGATATGTTTTTTATCACTCCGATAAGCCTTTTTAGTGCAAGTGTCATGAACTTCCTTAACCAATGGATACATCTGTGCTGCTCTAGGTCAGTAATTACACTGTGGGGTAACATGTCACAAAACAGGGCCAGTGCTGTCATCCAGCTGTGAAGCTTCTTGGAATTTCAGCCCTTTGGAAAAACATCCAGATTTTCCCCCACATTTTGCTGAGGCTCGATGTGTTCCCAAGCCCACCCTCCACCCCCCTGTTTTGTTTCCTGCTGGAAAGCTTCCTGATCAAAATCACTGAAGCAAAATACCCCCCCTGAGCCTTTCATGTGATAAACCACAAAGAGAGCAGAGTGGCAGGTCATGATTTGGGCAGCACTTCAAACCTTAGAATAATGAAAACTCCACCCTGTTTTCAGACTAAAAAAGGATGTTTTCATGAAAACATTTGCAGGGAAGATATACAACATGCTGCCAGGACAGTGGGACTCCCTGCCATGAGGACAGAGCTCACTTGAGGGTACAAATCCAGTGATTCCAGTGTCCTAAGTGATGGGTTTAGTCCCCTTCTCGCTTGGTCTTGCCTATGGAGGGGTTCAGAGGTGCCTGCTTCTGAGCAGAGCTGAAAATAATAAGGGAAAAAAAAAAACCAAAACAAAATGTCCTTTTGACAACCCTGTGCCTGGTCCTTTCCTGTACCTGGCACTAATTCCTGCCATTGCTGTGAAAAATGTGTCTATATTTTAGAGAATCATAGAATGGTTTGGGTTGGAAGGGACCTTAAAGATCATCTAGATCCAAACCCCCTGCATGGGCAGGGACACCTCCCACCAGCCCAGGCTGCTCCAAGCCCCATCCAACCTGCCCTTCAACACTGCCAGGGATGGGGCAGCCACAGCTTCCCTGGGCAACCTGGGCCAGGCTCTCACCACCCTCACACTAAGGAATTTCCTCCTCATGTCCAACCTCAATCTCCCCTCTTTCAGTTTTCATCCCTTCCCCTTTGTCCTCTCCCTCCCTGCCCTTGTTCCAAGTCCCTCCCCAGCTTTCCTGGAGCCCCTTCAGGCACTGGAAGGTGCTCTAAGGTCTCCCTGGAGCCTTCTCTTCTCCAGGCTGAACACTCCCAGCCTGGCTCCAGAGCAGAGCTGCTCCAGCCCTCCCAGCACCTCTGTGGCCTCCTCTGGACTCACTGTGGGAGCTTCATGTCCCTCCTGTGTTGAGGGCTCCAGAACTGGACACATATATTGGACACATACATTTGCATCCTGACAGCTCTTTTTGATACAAGGCATGGGGTGGCAGCTTTGAACAACCAAAAGGGCCAGGTTGGGGCTTTCCAGACCATTTTTTTTTTTGCACCTTTCCACTGACCACCCAACACCTGTTAATGCCCCTTCCCCTGCCTGCCCTAGATCAACAAGGTGACGGGCTGGCTGGACGGCAGCTCCATCTATGGCTCCTCCCACTCCTGGAGTGACGCCCTGAGGACTTTCTCACGGGGACAACTGGCGTCAGGACCCGGGGGGCTCCTCCCCAGGGAGACCGATGGGAGGGTCCCCATGTGGAAGGCATTGGATCCCTCCACCGGACAGGGTGGTCCCCGGGGGATCTACGGTAATGGTGTTATTCTCAAGGGGAGGGGATCTGAGCCCAGAGGGAACCCTGGGAAAGGCAGGGGTTTGTGAGGAGTTGAGACATGTGGGCCAGGAGTCCCATGAGAGAACAGGCAGCTTCCCAGCCTTTGGTGGGGGAAAGATGCATGGCCAGGTGAAAGATTCCTAGCAAAGACACACCATGAACTTAAGGTGCTGCATCCCTAGGAGGGAATGGGTCATTTCCCAGCCAACCTGCAGAGACCGGTGGGTGTTGGCCATGTCCTCAGGGCAAAGGGACTGCCACCAATAAAAACCTGCTCAGCTTGCTTTGAATTCCTCACCTGCCCAACCCTTGGCCTTTGCTGGGGACCTGGAGCTGCTTCTCTCCGGCTCAGGCTGTTCACCTCCCTGAGGTGGAAGGATGGACCAGGGAATGAGGGGATGATGGGATGCAGCTGCAGGGCTGGGACTGCCCCTCCAGCCAGGGGCAAGGTGAGATACATAGTGGCATCACCCACAGATGGTCTCCATGGCTCTTGCAGACCTGGGGAGTGCCTGGGGGAATGAGAACCCCTTCCTGCAGGCCCAGAGCATTGCCTGGTTCCGGTACCACAACCACCTGGCTGCAAAGTTGGCTGAGACACACCCCAACTGGTCTGATGAAGACCTTTTCCAGCACGCTCGCAAGTGGGTCATCGCCACTTTCCAGGTGAGGGATGGGACTCCCCCTGGCTTTTCTGGGACACCCCATCCTCCTGGTACTGGCCCTGACCCTGACCCAGCTCCCCTGTGCTCTAGAGCATCGTGCTGTATGAGTGGCTGCCAATCCTGCTGGGGAGAAGCGTCCCCAAGTATGAAGGTGAGTGGCACAGCGGGGGAGAGTGTGTGGGGAGCAGGGGAGGCAGGGGACAGGATGGGAAAGGACCGTGGCTGCTGCCCCACAGGTTACCAGCAGCACCTGGACCCCAGCCTCTCAACAGAGTTCGTGGCAGCTGCAGGGCAGTTCCTGGCCACCATGGTGCCACCCGGCGTCTACAAGAGGTGGGAACAGCTGGCAGGGCTTGGGGAGAGAGATGCCTGCACCAAGGAAAGGGATGCCCAAGCTGGGGTGGTGGCTGGGGGCGGTCCCTGTCCCTTCCATACATCCTGCTCCTTGCTGGGACAGCCAAGCCCTGCCAGCTTGGGGCAGCCCCAGCCAGAGACTGAGGGTCCAGCTTTTTTCTGCTGTTCCAGAGACTCCAAGTGCCAGTTCTTAAAAGTGTCCGAGTCCGGCACCTCGTTCCTAGCCACGCGGCTCTGCAACAGCTACTGGCGCAGAGAGGTATGGAGGGGAGCACGGGGGTCCTGAGGAGGTGGCAGACTGGTTGGGGGGGGCTCCAATCCTTGCCTTGGGTGATGGAGGTCCCTCCAGGGGTCTGACAGGGAAACTGGGTGCAGAGCATGAGAGCCAAGCCAAGAAAGCAAGGGGTATGAGAACCTCCTCATCCAGACATCCCCAGATGCCACCTTCAGCTGCAGCAGGCTCAGACCTCTAGGTTGAGCTGACATGGAGTAAATCAGCCTGGAAGAAGTCCCTCATCCCCCTGCGCCTGGCATCTGCACCCCTATGGACACCAGTTCAGTGGTGTGAGGCTGTCCCACGTCCTCAGTCCTTCAAGGAATCACTTGCTCTTCCCATTTCCCCCAGAGCACCAGGCTGCAGCAGGCAGAGGATGTGGACAATCTCCTGCTGGGGATGAGCTCGCAGATCGCAGAGCAAGAGGACAACATTGTGGTGGAAGATCTCCAAGGTCTGCACTCCCCTGCACTGCAGCTGGCGTGTGGGTGGGGGACCCTCCTTCCTGGGGCTCTGCAGGGACCTATGTGGGGAGGCAGATCCCATTGCCACTTCCATCAGCACCCAACCACATGCTCAGACCAGCTTCAACCTTGTTAACAGAGAGGCTGCAGGGCATGTCAAGTGTGTTCACAGGACCACCCTGGCTACGGCATGGAGATGATCTCCATGTTCAGCATGGCCCCTGGCAGAGGGACGAGGCCAGCCCAGCAGCTATGGGAGCTGGGGTGGCTCCTCTGGCTCTGCCTTGCCATCACCATGTCTTCCAATCCACCCACAGATTACTGGTACGGGCCCCTGAAATACTCCCGCACCGACCACGTGGCCAGCTGGTTCCAGCGCGGGCGGGACCTTGGCCTGCCCACCTACAACCAAGCCCTGGAGCGATTTCAGATGAAGCCTCTTCAAAACTGGTCAGAGCTTGCCCCACACCTGGAACAACAGGTAACAGGAAACTGCTCTGGGCATGGGAAGTGTCTGGGTCAAAGGATGTTGGGGCAGTTCAGGCATGAACTGGCTTCTCAAGTAATGTAGGAAGAGGGATATCAGTGTGCACCCTGCTCTAGCTTATCTTCATGTCTGTGGGGCATGAATCCTACCCTGGTGCTAAGCTCCTGTGCCACGGGGTGCTCTGCTGCTCCTGGAGCTGAGATGCTCTGGGATTGATGCTTAGGTGCTCAAGTCCAAGCCATGAGCTCAAGGCTGCTTGGGGCTGAGCATCCTCCCAGTCTAGGGATGTGTGATGCCTGGGAAATGCATGTTCCTTGCTGCTCCTGGGGCTTGCCAGTGCTTCCTCAGGCCCTGGAAGAATTCCCTCTGCTCACACGAGTGTGGTGGGTGTTTCTGGCCAGGTCCTGGAGAAGGTTGCTGCCCTGTATGCCAACAACACAGCTGGGCTGGAGATGCTCCCTGGGGGCATGCTGCAGGCTGATGGCTCCCTCTTCAGTGCCATCATCCTGGACCAGTTTGTGCGCCTGCGTGATGGGGACAGGTTTTGGTTCGAAAACAGCAAGAACGGGTAAACGTCCCCTCCCCATCTGGCAGGCTGCCCACTGTTTGGCCAGCTCCAGTAACACACAAAAACTGGGGCTGGAGGAAAAAACATCCTCCAGCTTGTTTCCTAAAGTTGTGGAGGGATTGAGTCCCTCCTGCTGCCAGCCAGTGACACCAGGGGCCACCACTTGGCCTCACGCCTTCTTCCCCAGGCTGTTCACAGAGGAGGAAACTGAGCAGATCCGTAACATGACCTTCCATGATGTCCTGGTTGCTGTCACCTCTGGAAACTCCACAGTCCTCCAACCCCACGTGTTTGTCTGGAGCCAGGGTGAGTGCTTTGTGCAATGGAAGAGAGCAGATGGCACCAGCAGGTTAGGGGGGAGAGCAAACCCATCTCAGTGACTCGGTGACATGGGGAAAGCACCAGACTGGCCGCTTCTCAAGCCTGATGCCTGCTGTGCCCTCAGCCAGCAAAATGCCTGCCGAACACCTGGGTTGCCTGTGGGCAAGGTGGGCAGTGCTGGTGTTGAAAGGGGACTGAAGACCAGGCATGTGCATTGCATGAGTTGTGGAAGGATCTCCAGGTACTGATGCCCTGGAAGGCCATGCTGGGGTTCAAACTCAGCCTCTGCCCACCTCACACTGTCACACTCCTCACTGATGTGTCCTCGGGCTCCTTCTGTGTACAGGTACTCCCAGGTCTGCATGTTAAAGTGATGAGTGGCTTGAAACCTGGTGCAGTTTGCAGTTGAACTTTGTGTACAGTAACTGCAGAACATCTACTTCTGCCTTCAATGGCATCAACCCCTGAGTGTCCTGCAGGGTCCAACCCTGCCCAGCTGCTCTCCCCAACAGGGTTGTTGGTCCACCAGTACTGCTGGAAGGGCTGCTCAGGCTTCCTGTACCTGTTCTTGAGCTGCATCAGCCTGGGGAGATCTCAGGGCTTGTGTCCCTGCCAGGCTGGGTGCTGGTGTGCACCTCTCACCCTGTTACATCCTTGAAATGAGCCTTCCCCTCCCTTCCAAGACCTAAAAAGAGTCCTGATGCCATCCATGGTCAGGGCAAGGTGTGGCCGAACACAGCAGACCTTCTCCTCTTGGGATCTTGCCACAACATTCCTCCTTCCCAAAATCATTTTATCTGGCATGCATTCCAGCCCATGCTAGAAGTTTTGGCTCCCTTGGTGTCAAGTCCATGGAGCTGCACCAGGAGGACTCCCTGGCTGGCTGTGGATCCCACCATCAGAGGTTCTGGGGGATGATGGAGGTCAGATGGGTCAAAGGTTCATGACACTCACTGCTTGTCTCCCCCCGTGCAGGGGACCCGTGCCCCCAGCCCCAGCAGCTGAGCACTCAACACCTGGCCAACTGCACACCCATGATGGTGCTGGACTACTTTGAAGGCAGCGGTGCAGGCTTTGGGATCATCATCGTTGTCCTCTGCTGCCTGCCTTTAGGTTTGCCATGTTTCTTTACCCATCTCCTCTTCTACCAGAGCAAGGGGCTGCATGTCCATGGACCAAGTACCCCCCAGCAGGAGCTGCTGAGTCTTGGTCACTTCTGAGGTCCTTGAGGTGTCAGGTTGCTTGGGCACCAGGAGGGAGCTTTCATGGAGCAGTCCTGCATTAAATAAATCCATCCAGCATTGATCTGGGGAGATGGGGAAGAAATCAACCCCTGTCTGCTCCAGTGGCACAGGTCATGATGCCCAAGTGGGAAGGAGCTTTGTGGTGTCTCATATCTCCTTCTCCCCCGTGTCCTCAGTGACTCTGCTGGTGGCCTGGATTGTTGCCGTTCTCCGCAAGAGAGATTTCAAGAAGCTGCAGAAGCAGCAGTGTTCCAGCATGAGGAGGGAGGTGGCCAGTGAGGCAATTCCTGGTGAGGCAGCACTTCAATCCTGAGATGGCATCTGGTGATGCTGCTGGAGCTGGGGCAGGGTTGGGCTTGGGGCTTATATGCAGGCTGGATGTCAGGAGAAGCTGTTTCCCCAGGAGGATACTCAAGCAGTGGAGCAGGTAGCCCAAGGTTGGGTGGGAGGCCCTCCTAACCTGAGTCCCTTCCAAACTGAGTAATCCTATGACCATCTATCACTAACTAACTGCAACCCTCTCCTGATTACACCTTTTCTGAAGGAAACCCATTGCATCAGTAGCTCCAGGACAGGAACTGTGCCTTCTTGCTCTGGACACTGGAAGAATCCTCCTGTGTCCATGAGCTTGAGCTCTGCAGTTGGGAGATAATTTTTCCTTTAACTGGTCATGGAATCATTCCCAAACTGGGTGAAGGAGGTGCTGGGATGAGTGGGAGCCCAGCTGTCCCTCTCCAGCTGAGTCCTGTCTCTCTCCCATCAGCCATGGAGTGGCAGGGTCCCAAGACAGACAGCTCTCCTGTCTACATCCTGCTCCAAGCTGACCAAGTGCTCAAAGTGCTGGATGGGAGAGGGTCTGTGCTCCGGGTCATCAACCTGAAAGCCCATCAAAGGGTGGAGGTGCTCATCTCCAGCAACAAAGGGAACAAAGCTCTGCTCCTGAAGAGCCCCAAAGAGTATGACCTGGTGAGTACCACGATGCCTGGGATACAATACCTTCCCCTGCACCCTCCACAATCCTCTGCTGCCCAGTCCTGGGCACTGTGAGCAGCATAGATCCCCAGAGGATGGCTGTGGCCTCCCAAGAACCACCAGGTCCATGGAGTGACCACTGTGGTGAAGGGCAGCAGCACTCCCAGCCCAGCTGAGCCTCTGCTGTTCACAGCCATTTGGTGGGGTCTTTGGCAGGTGCTGCTCTTCAGCAGGGAGGTGGAGAGAAGCAACTTCATTGGGAAGCTACGAGGCTACCTGGAGGAGAATGGCCTTGACCTGCATCTGTCTGAGATCAAGGAGCAGACCCTGATGAAATGGGCAGTCACCCAGGAGCAGAGGAAACAAATTCTGGAGACTTTCTTCAGGCATCTGTTTGCTCAGGTCTGTAGAGGAGTGGTGGGCTCTGAGGCATGGAGGAGGGTACTTCTGTATTGAGTAAAGACTGACTGGTGCTGCTGCTGCTCTTCATAAACTATGCACAAGGAAGCTGCCAATACTTTCAGGACCAAGGGACATTTTCCCTTGCAGAAGACAAAGGGAGTTCTGTTTGGGCTGGGGTGCCCAAAGTTGCAAAGAGACTTCTCCCCCTCCACTCTCATGAGAACCCCTGCAGGGCTGTGTCCAGTTCTGGGGCCCCAACACCAGAAGGACATGGAGCTGTTGGAGGCAGTCCAGAGGAGGCCACAGAGATGATCACAGAGCTGGAGCAGCTCTGCTCTGGGACAGGCTGGGAGAGTTGGGGTGTTCAGCCTGGAGAAGAGAAGGCTCCAGGGAGACCTTAGAGCACCTTCCAGTGCCTGAAGGGGCTCCAGGAAAGCTGGGGAGGGACTTGGGACAAGGGCAGGGAGTGATGGGATGAGAGGAGATTTATATGAGATATCAGAAATGAATTCTTGAGTGTGAGGGTGGTGAGACCCTGGCCCAGGTTGCCCAGGGAAGCTGTGGCTGCCCCATTCCTGGCAGTGTTGTGCAGGTTGGATGGGGCTTGGAGCAACCTGGTGTGGTGGGAGGTGTCCCTGCCCATGCAGGGGAGTTGGGACTGGATTTAAGGCCCCTTCCAGCCCAAACTATCCTTGGATTCTTGAATTATATAACTGAGGTCTCCATAATGGTCAGTGGTGTTTAGTGTGAAGGTCATATAGTGTCGGAGAGACATGGGACTTCTCTGTGGTATCTACCATGAGTTTTGCACCAGGGGATTCACCCATCTTTGAACAATAAGTCAGGCAAGTGGACACCAATTTTCTTTGCCAGGACTCATGGGATTTCTTTTGTGGGACACACCTGCAGGTGCTGGAAATCGACAAGTCCAATGCTGGAGAGCTTGACCTTGCATCTTCACAGAAGACAAAGGAGTCTCTAACGTGTGAGCTCAGCAGGGCTGAGTTTGCCGAAGCCCTGGGGCTCAAAGCCCACTCTATGTTTGTGGACTCGATGTTCTCCCTGGCTGACAAAGATGGCAATGGTTACATCTCTTTCCGGGAATTCTTGGACATCTTGGTGGTCTTCATGAAAGGTGGGAGCTGGTGCTGGTTAGTGTCTTCATCTCTTGCCCTCAGTGCTGTTTCTATGCTCTGGCAGTGCCACCAGCAGAGTGAAGGAAATCCAGCAGGTCAACATGCTGCAGGTTAAAATTCCCTTCACTCAGGACAGCTTCACCTTGAGTTTTGGGGCAGTGACAATAGAATTGTTTTCTGAAAGACTGTTCATGAGGGTCTGTCCCGTCTCTTGAATGCATGCTGCCCTCGAGAGGTGGTAGTAACTGGATCTGACACCACATCTGAGCCTTCCCTGGTTGACCACTGGGAAGTGGAGGTAGGGAGTCCCAGACTCGATCAACAGCAGCTCCCTGAACACCAGTTGCTGTGCAAAAGCGTGTTTTGAGTTTGCAAATTTAAGGTGGAAGAAGAGAGTCTGCATCTACCTGGGCTACCTGGCCCTTCAGAAAGCCAACTGGAAGTGGGTCGTGCTGTTCACAGCCAGTGGCTGCCCAAGCTGCCCTCAGCACTGTGCCTTCTGTCTTCTCAGAGCTGGGTGGGGATTCACTGCTGCTGGTCCAGACTTTCAAAGACAACATTTGAAAGCATCTTTGTGGATTAAAATAGGATCTTGTTCTTGCTTCCCCACTAGGGTCCCCAGAGGAGAAGTCCAAGGTGATGTTCAGGATGTATGACATCGATGAGAATGGGTTCCTCTCCAAGGAGGAGTTTCTGAGGATGCTCAGGTACTTCTCATCTCTCTAGCTGTTTTCACAATGTCTGTAAGCACAGATGTCTTCAAAAGCAGCTTCCAGCTTCTGTGCTCCACTCCCCAAGTGTCCTACATAGAGTCCATGGGCTCAATGCTCACAGCCAAGAGCTCATTCCTTCCAGGAAACTCTGCCCTGTGTGATTTGAAGAATTCAAGATGTGGTCCTCTGAAGTTACCATCTCTCCTCCTTGCTCCAGGTCCTTCATTGAGATCTCCAACAACTGCCTGTCCAGAGACCAGGCAGAGCAGGCAACCGAGTCCATGTTTCAGGCCTCGGGATTTCAGGACAGGGATGAGCTGACGTGGGAGGATTTCCATTACATGCTGCGGGACCACGACAGCGACCTGCGTCTCACCCAGCTCTGCATCAAAGGTCAGTGGGCAGGAGCACTGGGTCACACCAGGCCCTGGGGCAAAGGGGCAGCACCTGATACAATGGATGGGTACCAAAATCTTGTCCCATTAATCTCTCCAACTCAACTGCAGCCATGGGGCATCAGCTGTTGCTTCAAGTGTGACATATATTGGTCAGCTCAGAGTATCTCCCCCCTCGCCCCTGCCCAGGGGAGATGACTAAACCTTGTCCATGCATCTCACATGCTCTAAATGGCCGTTTGTCCTTTTGGCTTCTCAAAGGTGTCCCTGAGGTTCTCAAGCAAAATGTGCACAACCGTGTCTCCTTCATAACTAGGAAAGAGCCCAAAGGGTAATCTCTCCACCTTTGTCTTGCTACTGCTGCTGTTTCCCCTTCTCCTTCTGCCCTCAGGCACGTCCATCCTTCACCTCAGCCTCTTCAACAAATGCTCCCATTGGGTGTTCACACTTCAAGTGCTGGGGAAGGGGGATGGCCGTGCTAGGACATGCACATGAGCAAGTCAAACACCAGTGGGGCTTCTGCCTTCCTCCACTGGGACCCAGGCAGGCAGAGGGATGGAACTGCCTCCTGCAGAGCCCCCGTTGCAGCCACGACATGGGGATGGGAGTCCTACCTTGCTTTTCAAGGGGTGGGTTATCTCTGAGTGAATCCAGCCCATGTACCAAGCTTTAATTAAAGTTAATGCAAACAGGAAAGAGCTGGACATCTTCTTGGTTAATCCTGACATGGAGAGTGGAGAAAAATTTGTCAAGCCTTTCCTGCAAGTATAGCTTGGGGCTGAACATAGCTCCATTTCCAACAGGGCCATCTCAGAGGAGGAGAAAGACCCAAACCTGGACACCATAAGCCACTACATGGAGCCAGAAGGACAAGAACTGAGGAAGAGACCAGGCAGAAGGTGAGTGAGCCCCTTCCTCTCCAGGCTCACTTCTCAGGCTTGGGTCCAGCCTGTTTGCTGCTTCTCATGTCTCAGTGTCAGTCTAGGTGGCCCTCCAGTCAAATGGCGCTGCTGCAAGGAGCCAGCACCCCCACGACAACGTAGGGAGGGGATGCAAGACCCTCACTGCAGGAGATGCCCCAGCCCAGGCAGGCCCATAAGAGAAGCTAGGGGAACAGCCCTGGCTCAGTGGGGACAGTGGGTCCTTTGCTGCTTGGGAAGCTGCTGGTTCACCTGTGGGCTTCCTGCAAGAGCTGCAAGAGAGACTCTGGTCCTCACTGCTGCGGTTGCAGAAAGTATTTCCACAAGGAAGCAGTGAAGTGGTTGTTCTTGGTGGCCAGAATATCCTGATTTCCCTTAATAGTTCCAAGGACCTTCCCTGCACTGGTATCAGTTTGGAGGGTTGAATATCACTATGAAAATTATCTTTGACAGTTCTTAGCTGCAGTTTCACTTCTCAGTCACTGCACCTGCACATTTGTTATCAGCTCTCAAGAGTGTGTACGCTGTGGGAGGACCTGAGATCAACCACAGACACTGTGGTCTGCAGGTTCTGGCCATCACTGGTGTGCAGAGGTGGTCGCTGGAAGACCCAAAGCTGGGCAGGGTGGCCCTGAGCTGTCCCCCCCTAGTGACACCACCCCCTGTGTTTGCCAGAGCCAATCAGTACCAGCTGCACGTGTACACTAAAGCCCAGCGGAAGAAGTATGAGCCGAACAAAGTTCAGCAGAAGATCCAGGAGTTCAAGCGCTTCGTTGAGAATTACCGGCGCCACATTGTCTGTGTGGTCCTCTTCTCTGCCATCACCATTGGCCTGTTCGTGGAGAGAGCCTACTGTGAGTGCCCATCCAGCCCCAGGCACAGAGGGGTGCATGGTCTCGGCTCCTCAAAGCTGCTGGTTGCACGGGACATGCTGGGGTGTAAGAGGTCCCAGCAAAGCTTTGGGCAAGAGGGTTGGTCCTTCCCTGGGCCAACCAAAGGATTACCGAGGTGGGAAGACACCTCTGGAGGGGTCTGGGCTAATGCCCTGCTCAGAGCAAGGTCAATTTCAAAGCTGAATCAGGCTGCTGAAGGCCTTGCCCAGAAAAGGTTTTAAGAGCTCTGGGGTTGGAGATGCCACCATCTCATTGGGCCTGTGCTAGTTTTTGACCATCCTCCCTGTGAAGAGTTTGTTGACACCTCTCATATTGAGATGCCCAACAGAGGACACAGTACCAAGATGCAGTTTCACAGGGTCTGGCAGAGGAGGACAATCCTCTCCCTTGACCTTCAAGGAGACCCTGTCACCCTGCTCTGGTGACAGAGCTCTAGGTTGTCACCCAGCTCTGGGGTGTCTGACATGGAAAATTGTGCCCCACTCCTGGTACCTTTTCTTGGTGGAGCCACACAGGTAGTTGTCCCCTTGTTGGGGTCACTCCCTCTATCTCATGGAATCATAGAATGGTTTGGATTGAAAGGAATGTCAAAGATCATCTCGTTCCACCCTCCTTGCATGGGCAGGGACACCTCCCACCACATCAGGTTGCTCAGAGCCACATCCAACCTGCCCTTCAACACTGCCAGGGATGGGGCAGCCACAGCTTCCCTGGGCAGCCTGGGCCAGGGTCTCACTGCCCTCATGATAAGAAAACCTCTTCCTGATATCCAATCTAAATCCACCCAGACTACGCCTTCGACTCCCCCAGCACGGGAATTGCACAGACCACCTTTGTGGGGATCATCATTTCCCGGGGATCAGCCGCTTGCATCTCCTTCATGTACTCCTACATCCTGCTCACCATGTGCCGCAACCTCATCACCGTCCTGCGGGAGACCTTCCTTAACTGCTACATCCCCTTCGATGCTGCCGTGGACTTCCACCGCTGGGTTGCCATGGCAGCCCTCATCTTCTCAGGTAGGTGGGCTGCTGGGGGATGTGCTGCCGGCAAACCACAGCTCAGGTGGGAGGACCAGCCCATCATGGCCCAACAGGACCAGGCAAAAGCTTGAAGACCTGCACGGAGCTTAAAGAGATGTAGATGCTTTGCACAAAGGATGAGGAGGAATTGCTGGGTCCCTGAGCACATCAGCAGGGTCTACTGCGTCTCCATCCACAGCATCAATGATGCTTTTCTCTCCCGGTTTCTGTCTCTTACAGTGCTCCACACTGCAGGTCACATAGTGAACGTCTACATCTTCTCAGTCACACCTCTCAGTGTGTTGTCCTGCCTCTTTTCCAGTGTCTTTGTGGATGATGGGTACGTGAAATTCGAAGTACCGTCCAGAGACAGTGTCCTGGGCATGGACAGGAATGAAAGTGGGAACCAGGAGTTTGCTTTGGCCACTCCATGGTGTAATCTCTTGTCCCTCTCCAGGTCCCAGCTCCCACAGAAGTATTATTGGTGGTTCTTCCAGACTATTCCAGGTGAGATGACCAAGCAGGCAGACCTGCAGGCCCATGCCCAGAATGGGCAGCCCTCTGCCCAGCCCAGATGAAGCCCCTGTAGGGCTACTCTGACATACCCCAGGACCTCCCAACTCCTTTTCTCACAGGCATGACAGGAGTGCTGCTGCTTGTCATCCTGGCTGTGATGTATGTGTTCGCCACCCACCACTTCCGACGTGTCAGCTTCCAGGGCTTCTGGATCACCCACCACCTCTACATGCTGCTCTACATCCTGGTAAAGCATTTGGGCTGGGAGGGAGGGGTAGGGTCAATGCACCACAATCCTGTGGGTCAGCCCAGCTGATGAGGTGGAATAGCTGAGGAGGTGCCAAGGGAGCTGATGGCCTCACCCTGGCTCCCCACGGCTGATGAGCTGCCATCCCCGGGGGATGGTTTGTCATGCTGATGGGGGCTCCTCCCTGGCCAGATCATCATCCATGGCAGCTACGCGCTGATCCAGCAGCCCCGCTTCCACATCTACTTCATCATCCCAGCTCTCATCTACGGTGCTGACAAGCTGCTCAGCCTGAGCAGGAAGAAAGTAGAGATCAGTGTGGTGAAAGCTGAGCTCCTGCCCTCAGGTACCCAGCGTCCCTGGCCACACGGCAGCAGCTCAGCCTGAGCTCTTTATAAAAAGCACAGGGATGTGCAGCAGTGAAGGAACCTCCACCACCACTCAAACCCTCCTCCTTAAACAAGTTTCCACTCCCACCTCCCTCCAGGTGTCACCCACCTCCAGTTCCAGCGGCCGCAGGACTTTGACTACAAGTCCGGGCAGTGGGTGCGCATCGCCTGCATGGCCCTGGGCACCACCGAGTACCACCCCTTCACCCTGACCTCGGCACCCCATGAGGACACCCTGAGCCTGCACATCCGGGCCGTGGGGCCTTGGACCACCCGCCTGCGGGAGCTCTACTCCCCAGAGAGCCTGGCCCTCACTGGCAAGCTGCCCAAGGTGAGCCCCACGCTGCTGCTCTGGGAACAGGGACATCCAAGCCCAAGAGCATCTCAGCAATGGGCTATGCCCAGCTCCAGGCACTTCTCCAGCCTTGAAGGTGGCAACTGGAGGCAGGAGATGCTCTGCTGATGGTCGGCTCCCTTCCAGCTCTATCTGGATGGGCCCTTTGGGGAGGGCCACCAGGAGTGGAACAAGTTCGAGGTGTCGGTGCTGGTGGGAGGAGGCATCGGGGTGACACCATTCGCATCCATCCTCAAGGATCTGGTCTTCAAGTCATCCATAAACTCCAAGGTGCTGTGTAAGAAGGTAAGAGGGAGCACCTGGCAGACATGAGCCCTCTTGAGATGCCTCTTGCTGTGGCTGGCCTCTTTGGGGGCAAAACTCCTCCATGATCTGTGTGGGAAGGAGCCCCATGGACATGCCTGATGGTGCTGGCCCCACTCTGAGCCTCATCCCCACGTCTCACAGATCTACTTCATCTGGGTGACACGCACCCAGCGGCAGTTTGAGTGGCTGGCAGACATCATCCGTGAGGTGGAGGAGACAGACAGGAACGACTTGGTCTCTGTGCACATCTACATCACGCAGCTGGCCGAGAAGTTCGACCTGCGCACCACCATGCTGGTGAGCCAGGCCACCCACTGCCAGTGGGGCTGCCAGGCCTGCTGGGCTGGCCCTCTGACCTGCACTCATCTCTCTTCCAGTACATCTGTGAGCGGCACTTCCAGAAGGTGCTGAACAGGAGCCTGTTCACGGGGCTGCGCTCCATCACCCACTTCGGGCGCCCACCCTTTGTCCCCTTCTTCAACTCACTGCAGGAGGTGCACCCTGAGGTCAGTGCCCAGCTGGGGACAGGAGGAGGGCCACCCATTGGCCACTGTGCAGGACAGGTCCCAGCCTGTCCCCAAGGCCTTGGTGTCATCCACACCAAGGGCAGGACCAAGGGGCATGAGTCCTGCTTCCCCTCAGGAGCCAGGATGAGCTGCAACAATCAGCAACACCCCAACCAGCCAAACACGCCCCGTATGGCAAGAGCTGGCAGAGACCCTGGGGGATCCCATCCTTCCTCCATGACCCCAGCAGCTCCACAGGGCAGTGACAACCTCCCCAAAAGTCCCCCTCAGCATGGGACAGCTGACCAACCATAGAACCCAAGGGAATGGTAGGAAGATGTACAGGAGGAGGTTTAGGTTGGGCATTAGGAAGAGATTCTTCATCCAGAGGGTGGTGGAGCACTGGAAGAGGCTCCCCAGGGCAGCAGTGATGGCACCGAGCCTGACAATATTCAAGAAGCACTTGGACAATGTCCTCAGGGACATGGTGTGAACTTTGGGGTTGTTCTGTTCTGGGGCAGGGGTTGGACTTAGTGATCCAGGCTGTCTGAGAAGGTGGTTGAGCCACCATCCCTGGAGACATCTAGAAAGATGGATGTGGTGCCAGGGACAGGGTTTAGTGGTAGATGTGGCAGAGTTACATTAGTGGTTGGACTTGATCTTGAAGGTCTTTTCCAACCAGAGTGATGCTGACAGAGTCTGCTATGACAGACTGCTTGGCCATGCCCAAAGCTGCCAGAGGACAAGAGACCAAGGGGGCCTGGGCTGGGGGGGGAAGCTGGTGATTCTAGGTTTGACCTCTTTGGCTCCCTCTTTCCCCAGGTCCAGAAGATTGGGGTGTTCAGCTGTGGCCCACCTGGGATGACGAAGAATGTGGAAAAGGCTTGTCAGCAGCTGAACAAAAAGGACCAGGCCTACTTTGCACATCACTATGAGAATTTTTGACCCTACTCTGTGCTGTTTTAGGCTGTTTCAACCCTC